AACTATTCTTTTTTTTTTTTCTAACGTTTATTTTTGAGAGAGAGCATATGCACAGTAGAGGAGGGGCAAAGAGAGAAGGGGACAGAGGGTCCAAAGCGGACTCTGCACTGAGAGCAGAGAGCCCAATGTGGGGCTTGAACTCACAAGCCGTGAGATCACGGCCTGAGCTGAAGTTGGACGCTTAACTGACTCAGCCACCCAGGCACTCCGTGATAAGAACTATCCTAAATTATTCTTGGCAAGATGGGAGAAAACTTGAAATTTGAAGCTAGGCCATTAAAGATGAGTAGAGTTTTGCTAGGAAAACAGAAATGGAAAGGTATTATGTTTAGAAGAGATGTCAAAGTATATGAAAGAGATCAGTTCTGGCTTAATGCAGGCTAAAATAACCTGAGACAAACATCTAGAAATGGTACATAAAGGTTACTTTTTAAAATATATATTTTTTGGGGCCCCTGGGTGGCTCAGTCGGTTGGGCATCCGACTTCGGCTCAGGTCATGATCTTGCAATCCGTGAGTTTGAGCCCTGCATCGGGCTCTGTGCTGACGGCTCAGAGCCTGGAGCCTGTTTCAGATTCTGTGTCTCCCTCTCTCTCTGACCCTCCCCCATTCATGCTGTGTCTCTCTCTGTCTCAAAAATAAATAAACGTATAAAAAGAAAAAGAAAAAATAAAAGAAAAAAATATATATATTTTTTTTAAGTTTATCTATTTGAGAGAGAAGGAGAGAGAGAATCCCAAGCAGGCTCCACAATGTCAGTGCAGAGCCCAACGTGAGGCTCAAACTCCCCAATCATGAGATCATGACCGGAGCTGAAATCAAAAGTCAGACATTTAATGGACTGAGTCACCCAGGTGTTCCCTGGTTTTTTGTTTTTAATGTGTAGCTGAGCTTCCAAGAAAGGGACACAAAAGACACAATGAATTACTAGAGGGATAAGGGGAATATACTTGCTAATGCTGACAAGAGACAAGATCAAGCAGGAAGCTGGAAATGAGACCTCCAGTTAAAGCTGGGACCCTGAGATAGCAACAGTCTTAGTAAAAGAGGGGAAACTGAAAAATGCATCCAGCTGGCAAAAGAAGAAAGCAAGGAAGTTTGCTTGGGCTTGTGGAGTCGGAAGATTCCAGAGTTCCAGGCCCATGAAATGGGCCTACATTTCATGTGAATTTGAGAACTTTTTTTTAATATGGAATTTATTGTCAAACTGATTTCCATACAACACCCAGTGCTGATCCCAACAAGTGCCCTCCTCAATACCCATCACCCACCCTCCCCTCCCTC